TCCCATTCCAAATTTACCACTTACAGATGATCCTTTGGCTTGAGACCCCTACTTGTCACCTATCTTATGGCATATATGATTCCCAGTGGTCTCAGCTGACGATGAGATGAGTAGTTAACTATCCAATGAGCAGTAATAAGAAAATGTCTTGAGCTGATTCATGATGTAAAGAAACAGGCTTCAAATCAAACAATTGTGGCCAAGGCATTGTTCTATCTTAAAAGATTTAAGAATCGGCACAGTGAAATAGAAAAGGAAAATAAATGATTGGCAAAACATCCAAGTTCAGACGAAAGCTGAAAGCTGTCTTATAGGAGTGCTTGATAGAATAGACTTGGCCATCATTCTGAAACCAGTTAGGTTGTATTTTGGGGGTCACCTATACTCAGCACATAATAAAGCCTCTCTTTTTCTGAAGAATTAGAGGACTTATAGCCTGAACCAATCATTTCTTTGTTCAACAAGTATCTAAGTGCCTTCTATGGGTCAGGTAGTGTTTTTCTTTGCTCTTCAAGAGCAAAACGGCAAAGAAGACACAGCATCTGACCTCAGAGGTTTGTGAAGGAGACCAAACAAACAAACAAATAAAACAAAACCGCCCAAAACAAACTTATACTAGAGTAAGGGACCTCAAGAAAGAGCACTTATCTTTAAAGAGGTTTGTTTCAGTCTGGGTCCCATGTCTTAATCTCCAATGTGACTGTAACTTCCTTGAAGGCAGGGACCATCTTTTACATGTCTGCGTATCTCCCAGTTCCCCACTCAATGACATGCTCACAATAACCCATCACTAAACACTTCCTAATGGCTTGACTGATGACTATGGAAATGAAATGTGGTTGTAGAGGTACTTACAAAGTGCGTTTACATGATTTTTTGCCTCCTGCAGAGGCTCTTGGTTGTCCATTTACATATTAAACCATCACCACCAACAAATAAGAATGTCCTGTGTACTATCTTATGCGTGGTGGGAGGAACAGGGCTTTGAGTCCTTGACATGCAAGAGATCTGTGGTCACTGGATTCTTCTCTGCTGGCTAGTGGTGTAATGGATAAGAAGAGGGTTTGGCTCTGCCACTTAAGAACTGTTAATTAACCCCTCAGTGCCTCTCATTCCTCCACTTTGAGCAGATTAGTGTTCCCTTCTGCTTTACTTAGTACACACATTTTTGTTTCAGAACTAGTTTGGGTGCAGGGGGAGATGTAACGCCCAGACTACCTGTCAACTGATGGGATGTGACATGGCTTCTCCCTAGATTTTTGTTGTTCCTCCTTATGAGGTTTTAGTCCCAGTGAATTCTCCCCTCAAAAACTAAACAGGATAATTATGAACCACTTTCTCGCATTTTCTATCAAGACAGCTCTTTGTGAGTTCTAAATGTTCTGTCCAGATTCAAAGAAGCTGGTTTCTTCATGAGTGGTTGGAATAAGACTTTTCTTGGAAGCTACTGAATATGGATTAGTTGGATTGTTTAGCAGAAAATAAAAAGCAGGCTCTGGGATGACTACTTCAGCACTTAATTGGGTTAGCAAAAAACAGCAAATGAGAGGTTTTCCTTAGGAGGGAAAGGATGTTTACGGGCCCCTCACCCCCACCCCTAGGTGGTGGATGTTAACCTAAATGCTAGTCTTCAAATGCAGTCTTTAATTTTGGAACCATTACAAGAATCTACTAGAGCAGAAAACGTCAGGTTGAAAAATTAACACATCACAGGAGTTAATTAGAACCTAGCCTCTCATTAGATGCAAATGGAGAGCCCTCCAGCTGCCTACCAGGCCCCTGAAGTCATGTTTGTTGCGGCTCCAAAGTGTGCTGTGTGCATCTTTATTACTCAGAGAGTGAATGGAGGAAGCTGCCCAGGCACTCAGACTAGAGCCACTAGGGGTCCATGGCTTGCCTTTTAGGTTAATAGAAGGTTCTGTTCACAGGTCCCTATCTCCTACTCCTCTCCTAAATGCTCTGCATGTCACAGGGTGGCTAGCCCTCTGCCTGGAAGTATTTTCTGCAACAAAGACAAACATGCCATGCCTGTCACCAGGAGCAGACTGGCGACTATAAACCACTCTGTGAGAGGGAGGCTGAGGGGCTCCAGGCCATTCAGACTTAGCTCTAAGTTGTGGTCTTTGTTTTCTTTCCACATTCAGACTGAAATGTGATTCCCCTGGCTTTCTTTTTTGGAAAATACCTGCCATGAGCTCCATGCCGGGAAAGAAAAGCTGTTGACAGGAAAAGCTTCTGACAGGGAAGGGGCTTCATCTTGAGTGTTCTCAAAGGAGACAGTTGCTTCAAGCAACCTGAGGCAGGGATGCCAGGGCCAGGTATAAGAGGCCCAGATCACAAAAGAGTCATCTTTAACTATGGAGTATATTGAGTGTCAAGAGTTTCCTCTATGAGAGCAGTACCATGCACTGCACACTGACTTCTGGGCCAGGCAGACATGCAACTGAGTCCTTTCCTGTCACTTACTGTGTGATTTTTGGGCAAATTGCTTGACCTCTCAGAACATCAGTTTTCTCAAACTATCGTGCAAAATAAATGAGATAATATGCATGTAAAGCATGTAATATAGTATCTGGCACAGAGGACAGGTTTTATGTGAGTTATGTGTTATCGATTTGATAATAGTATTCCTTCACCCAACATTAATGATGTTCCCCCTGTGTACCAGGTCCTGTGCAAGGGACAGTGCCTGCTTCTTGACCTCATGGAGGTCATTGTTTAATAAACCATGTACACTTATGTTGAGCACAAAGCAAACCCCTCTCTCCTCCCTGCAAGTGCCCTAGGAGAAGTGCCAATTGCATACTAACTCTGTTTTGTTGAGTAGCTCAGAATCCTGCAGGCCGTCCCTCTTGGAGCAGCCCTCCAAACTTAGCTACCTCTACTTTCAATTTGCCCACAATTCTCTCTCTGTGCACTTATTACAATGAGTTACAATTGTCTGTTTATTCTTTGTCTCCTCCTGTGAGTTCCTAGAGGGTGGGGATCATCTATTCATTTGATTTATACATCTAATCATTCATTCATCACTGTAGGCCAATGGTCTCATGCATTACTCAGCACAGGCTTACAGAAGATTCAACCCTACTGTTTGCTGAGTATGTAGATTTCCAGCTGGGAACTCTTCTGGGAAAACAATCCTATTCCTCATCTTTGAAAGGCCTCTTTTGAGCTCTGGTTTGGTTGATCTTTCATTTTCTAACTTTCCCTTTGGTTCTAGCCTGTTTCTTCATCTCTTCCAGGGACTAATGGAGTCTCCTTCCCTGGGAGATGATGATGATGGCTGGAGATAATGCAGCTTCTTTGTGCCCAAAACAGTTCTAGGCACAGAGCCAAATACCAAAAAATGTTGATTCCATTCTTGCCCTCAGCCAAGTTTATTTGCCAATATAAGAAAAGAAAACTAAAAATACAAAAACAGAATATGAGCACCACATTAGTGGTACAGACATCCTTCCAACTTACACACAGCCTCTGCCATGTGCCAGACTTAGCAGAAATGGGAGGATACAAACATGTACAAAAATGTGGTCCCTGTCACCAAGCCCCAGGAAAACAGTGGCAAGTGTTGGACAAAAAGATCTCAGAAAAAAAAAGTAAAGCTCTTTACCAGATCCTCAGACCTGGTCTGCCAGAGATGTCTTTTGGCACCATGCTGACAAGCAGGAGGCTGTCCCACAACAACAACCAAGGTTATCGGCACTTACTATGTGCCAGGCACTGTGCGAAACGATTTACAGGCATTCTCTCATTTAATTCCTAGAACAACTGTGTGGGGTAGACATCAACTTCCTCATTTACAGATGGCCAATTTGAGGCTCAGAGACACGCAATAACTTGACCACAGTAAAGCAACACGTAAATGGTTTAGGAATCCACCTGCTGAGGGTTTCACGGGCCCAAACCGGAGAGGGTGAACTTGCAAAAAGCTCCGTCCCAGGGGGCGGGGGTAGGAAGAGCTAGGAATGACAGGGGAAAGTTGGATGGAAAACACCGGTCGCGTGATCCCCAGGACCCTACGCAGGAGCAGAATACATTGGAAAGGGATGCAAGCTTCAGAGGAGGGCTGCCTGGGAGGCTGGGAGAAGGGAGCACCGGTGGTTGTGCGCCTTCTTGGCTCCCCTCACCCCGCTCCTCCTGCACAGGTCAAGCCTCTCCCCTCCCGCCCTCTCACCCTCCCAACCTTATTTAGAAACCGTGTCCCCGAGACAGGAAGGGCGGCGGGCCGAGAAGCACGGAGCGTCCCGGTCTCATTTCCTTTCGAATCCCCCTGTGGAATTTCATTTCATACGGCGAGGAAATCGGAGCGCGAGACCGTCGGCTGGTCGGCTGCTCCCGGGCGCCTCCCCCACTCGCGGCTGCAGACAGGCAGCTCTCGGGCGCGGGTCGGCCCAGCCTGGGGGCAGGGAGATGGGGGCCGGGCTTCCAACCAAGCAAGTCAGGGGTGAAAACAAGTACGAGCTTTCGCTGTACTAGTCATCGTGCTAAGCATTTTACGCATTATCTCTAATCCTCCTAATTCTCTTTACGGATGAGGAAACCGACGCCCAGAGGTTGAGCAATTTGCTCAAGTTCACACAGCCGGGGTTTAAAGTCACAATCTTTGTAAATCCAAATCCCGTGTTCTTTGTGTACGTTTGTCTGCCAGACGGGGAGGTGGCCACCGGCGGAGGTGACAGCTGGAAGAAGTAAAGGAAAGGGAGCCGACCTATCTGGGAGCATTTCTCACCTGGGAGGGGAGAGGGGCAGGCTCGCCCGGCCGGAGCGACTCGGCTCCATCCCCGCCTGGCCCCTGAACGCCGCGAGCCGGGTGGGAGGAAAAGTGAGAGCCGGGAAGCGGGGCGGGGCGCTCAGCAGAGAAGAGGGAGGGACCCTGGAGAGCCGCCGGAGGGCGGGGCCTGACCACTCCTGCACCAGAGCGGCTCCGCCCCTCGCTGCCCACGGCGCCGGGCCATTGGGGAGGTGCGCTGTCCGTCTCGGCCCGCTACCGCCCAGCGAACCTCTAGCACCGCGGAGGGCTAGAGCAGTTAGAGCGGCGCGGCGCTGTGTGCTGGCGGGCTTTGGGGAGACTCCGATCGGACACGGCCGGTGCTGGGTTGGGGGCTCGCCGCCTGCAGCCATGACCCTCGCATTCTGTCCCTCGGCTTCGGCCCTGGAAGTCTAATATCCCACACAGTTGCGCGCAGCTGCTGGAGAGCCGCCGCTGCCCCCTCATCGCCCTTGGAGCTGTATCACACTCTGCCCGGGAGCTGGGAGCAGCGCGGGCAGTCAGAGTCCGGGTGCAAACTGGGGGTGTCTGCTGGAGCAGCCCCCGCCGCCGCCGCCGCTGCTGCCCCCGGCTCTGGCCATGGCCTGGCGGGGCGCAGGGCCGAGCGTCCTAGGGGCGCCCGGGGGCGTCGGTCTCAGTCTGCGGCTGCTGCTGCTGTTGCCGCTGCTCCTGGGGCCGGCTTGGGGCTTCGGGGACGAGGAGGAGCGGCGCTGCGACCCCATCCGCATCTCCATGTGCCAGAACCTGGGCTACAACGTGACCAAGATGCCCAACCTGGTTGGGCACGAGCTGCAGACGGACGCCGAGCTGCAGCTGACAACTTTCACGCCGCTCATCCAGTACGGCTGCTCCAGCCAGCTGCAGGTGGGCGCCCCCACCCCCACCCTGGCGGGACCCCTTGGGCAGGGACACCCGAAATTAACTCCGTGGAGCCCTTGCCAAGTCGAGCCCCCTACTGCCTTCCTAGGCTGAAGGGTATAACTATCCTGAAAAAATGATTTCCATCCCCACCCCCACTTTTCTGTCCCTTCTCAGGGACTGGAAGCCAAAACGTTGTGTAAGTCATCTGGCCTGCGAAAGAACCCACTCTTACACCCCGCCCTTCCGTTTTTCTCCCTTGCCCACCCGTGTCTGGCCAAGCCCCTAACCCCAGTGGAGCTGAGGGTTATCTTTGCCAAGGATTCTGGCCGCCGCTGCTCAGTGGGCGAGTCCCCGGCAGGGCAGCCAGCTGCAGCTAAGACTTGGAAGAAGAGATAAGGAACTGGGAACCTCTCCCTCACCGACCTCATTTCTCCCCCCGTATTTTGGGGTGGTTTATTAAATGAAACAACACTGCGCGGTTTTCTGCGGAATGTCCCCTCCTCGTGCCGCGCCACATGATTTTAGAGGTCATTCAGGAAGGAACTGTTGGATTGGCTTGAGTTCATTTGTTCTTCAGGGTTGACGGCAGGTTTAGTACTTGGAGGGGGAAAAAACACAGCTTGGGAAAAAAGTGATGGTATGGTTAAGCTCCAAGAAGGTTGTTTGTATATTGAAAGATTATTATTAGTATTGCAGTTATTTAAAATGTTAAAGCTTATGTAATGATACAGAAAATGTTCATCCTACAACAGTAAGTGCAGAAAGAATTTGCATATACATGGTGATTATAATCTTACAAAAACAACCACCAATTCATTGGAAAAGAAAAGGACCTGAAAGGAAGTTTTAAAAAGTGTTAACACTGGTTTTGTTTTGTTTGGCAAGGCTATGAGTGATTTTCAGAAATTTAGAAAAGAGAGAAGTTGGGGAAAATAATAGGGGCTAGTTGTCCAGGCTAAAAGCTTCCAATATCTGTGGTTCTGGTTGTAACTTCTGAGAGATAAGAAACTGGCAGCTTACTTAATAGGTGCATGGATATATATATATATATATATATATATATATATATATATATATATATATATATATATATATGTCATTTTAAAACTTGGATTGTGGTTACAGAAAGATGGTTGAAATTAGACCCGTTGCTGGTGAAATGTCCCTTTGGAAGTTTCAGAACTTTAGAACGAGGTTCTAAAAGCTTCAGAAATGATCCCTCTAGCTCTCAGTTTGGAAACAGAACATATCCTGACATCAGTGGCAATTTTGTTGGAGAAACAGCTTTTGCGGGGATATATATTTTTAATTACATGTATCCTGGGGAAGCAGCCAAGCTGTTTTGAAGGACAAGACTGGGATCCCTTTACATGCTGGAAAATAGTTACTTGTAACTCTAAACTTCATAGACAACATCTGTAAGGAGCCAAGCAGACTGTTTATCAATGCTGGAGGAATTGAGGACAGCAACTGGACTCTCCCCTACTGGTGTTGCAGTTTCAGGGACTTAACATTGCTATTTTCCTATTGTGCTTCATTATTATTCATTACGGAAACCTGGCCAAACCACCCCCCCCTCAACCTCCTCCACGACCAGAGACCTCAACCTGCATCCCATTCTTAGGTGTAACAGTGCCTTAATTAGGACATTTTATGTTTCATTGTGGGACTGATTTAAAAAATAATTTTAAGGGATAAAGTAGAGGAAAAGAGAGAATATTAACAGGAGAAAATCTGGATCTACATATTTTTTGACATTTATTTTTATGGTGATAAAGAAGTGGGGATAAAACTAAATCACCCCAATCATCTAAATGACTAAGTCGTTTGATTAGTCTGTTCAACTCTTTCAAATAGTAGCTGAAAAGCAAGGGAGACTCAAAGTCAGGTTTTTAAGTTTTCTTTCTTTTAAGTGTTGTACAAAAAGAGATTATATATTTCTTTGGGTCCTTTTTATACATTTTTATTATGTTCTCCTGGGAAGGATTACTAGGACCAAAAAAAGGAGGTGTGTAAGTGATGGATTATCGGGCACCCTTGTTTGAGGTCAGCAAAAAATGGTCGGACTCCTTGTAGGCTGGTTTAAAAGTTGATATGTACTTTTTGCCTGGAAGTGTTCACAACTCAGCTTTGTGCAAGCATTTGGTTATGCTTCCAAGTCACTGTTTTCTTTGTTCATTTCATTACTTTTCCAGTTCTTCCTTTGTTCTGTGTATGTGCCAATGTGCACAGAGAAGATCAACATCCCCATTGGCCCATGCGGTGGCATGTGCCTTTCGGTCAAGAGACGCTGTGAACCTGTCCTGAAGGAATTTGGATTTGCCTGGCCCGAGAGCCTGAACTGCAGCAAGTTCCCACCACAGAATGACCACAACCATATGTGCATGGAAGGGCCAGGTGACGAGGAAGTGCCGTTACCTCACAAAACCCCCATCCAGCCTGGGGAAGAGTGCCACTCTGTGGGAACCAATTCTGATCAGTACATCTGGGTGAAAAGGAGCCTGAACTGCGTTCTCAAGTGTGGCTACGATGCCGGCTTGTACAGCCGCTCGGCCAAGGAATTCACCGATATCTGGATGGCCGTGTGGGCTAGCCTGTGCTTCATCTCCACCGCCTTCACCGTGCTGACCTTCCTGATCGATTCTTCCAGGTTTTCCTACCCTGAGCGCCCCATCATATTTCTCAGTATGTGCTATAATATTTATAGCATTGCTTATATTGTCAGGCTGACTGTAGGCCGGGAGAGGATATCCTGCGATTTTGAAGAGGCAGCAGAACCTGTTCTCATCCAAGAAGGACTTAAGAACACAGGATGTGCAATCATTTTCTTGCTGATGTACTTTTTTGGAATGGCCAGTTCCATCTGGTGGGTTATTCTGACACTCACTTGGTTTTTGGCAGCGGGGCTCAAATGGGGTCATGAAGCCATTGAAATGCACAGCTCTTATTTCCACATTGCAGCCTGGGCCATTCCTGCAGTGAAAACCATTGTCATCTTGATCATGAGACTAGTGGATGCAGACGAACTCACCGGCCTGTGCTATGTCGGGAACCAAAACCTTGATGCCCTCACCGGCTTTGTGGTGGCCCCCCTCTTCACCTACTTGGTGATCGGAACTTTGTTCATTGCTGCAGGTTTGGTGGCATTGTTCAAAATTCGGTCAAATCTTCAAAAGGATGGAACAAAGACAGACAAGTTGGAAAGGCTGATGGTCAAGATTGGAGTCTTCTCAGTCCTGTACACGGTCCCTGCAACCTGCGTGATTGCCTGTTATTTCTATGAAATCTCTAACTGGGCGCTCTTCCGGTATTCTGCAGATGACTCCAATATGGCAGTTGAAATGTTGAAAATTTTTATGTCTTTGCTGGTGGGCATCACTTCAGGCATGTGGATTTGGTCTGCCAAAACTCTCCACACGTGGCAGAAGTGTTCCAACAGATTGGTGAATTCTGGGAAGGTAAAGAGAGAAAAGAGGGGGAATGGTTGGGTGAAGCCTGGGAAAGGCAATGAAACTGTGGTATAAATCTAGCCAACCTCCACGCTTTCCAAATTTTAAAGAAGGAAATGCCAGCATTTTGATGCAAATGCTACCAAAAGTTTCATGCAACAAATCTCAGTGTGAACAAACTAGCTGCACGGTTAAGTGACACCCCCCCCCAACCTACCATGACTCCCCTCCTCCCCCCAGCATCATAAAACTAATGATTTTGCTGCAGACTTTGGAATGATCCAAAATGGAAAAGCCAGTTAGAGGCTTTCAAAGCTGTGAAAAATCATAACATTGATCACTTTAGCAGGTCGCAGCTTGGAGCGTGGAGGTCCTGCCTAGATTCCAGGAGGTCCAAGGCGGTGCTGTGTTTCCCAGCAGGGTGGGATTTGAGCTGTGAGTAGGTAATGTGCAGGGAGAAAGCTTAATTTTTTTAACCCTTTAAAAATTTTAAATACTAACTGGTCTTTCAGATAGCAAAGCAATCTATAAACACTGGAAATGCTGGGTTCAGAGAAGTGTTACAAGAGTTTTATAGTTTGGCTGATCTAACATAAACATTTTTCTGTGCTGCACTGTCTGCTGTTTAGAACTTGTGGATTGCTCTCCCAAGAGGTGGTGTCAGGATCTTTCAGTGCCTTTGTCATAAAACAGAATTGTTTGAACAAACAAAAGTACTGTACAAACACACATAAGGTATCCAGTGGATTTTTCTTCTCTTCTTAAATTTCAGCCTGTTCAAGCTGCTGCTGTTCTTTTTTTCATTTTACATTAATTACTCAAAATAGGTATTTTTATAGGAATTTTTGCACTGCAGCATGCCTAATGAGGGGGAAAAGGAAGGGTGATTCACTTTCTGACAATCACTTAATTCAGAGGAAAATGAGATTTACCAAGTCGACTTACCTTACCGACCCCAGAGACCTGTTGCATTGAGCAATGGGGACTTAATATATTTTACTTTGTGTGATTGCATCTATGCAGACGCCAGTCTGGAAGAGCTAAAATGTTAAATTTCTTGGCAACTTTGCATTCACACAGATTAACTGTGTAATTTGTGTGTGTCAATTACAATTAAAAGCACATTCTTGGACCATGACATAATAGTATACTCAACTGACTTTCAAACTGTGGTCAACTTGCATTCTCCGAATGATAGTGCCTTCTTTTTTCTTTTAGCATAAGAATGTTATCAGAAGAGTCTGGTCTACTTACCACAATGGAGACTTTTTCAATTTTGCAGAGGGAACTAAAGACAGCTAATCCAACGACTTGGTGCATAATTGTTTCCCAGTAATTGGCCAAGGCTCCTTATAAGATTTCATTGGAGGCAGTGTGGCCTGGAGTATTTATATGGTGCCTAATGAATCTCTAGAATGTCAGCCAGGAGCTGATTGGTTAGTAGCGAATAAAGTGTAGACCCTATGAAATGAACTGCAAACTCTAACAGCACAGGTCTTAATTGCCTTTTGTGGAGGTATCCAGAGCTTTTAAAATTTATGCTTTATGTTCCTGACAAGGGGGGGGGGTACCCCCTAGCAGCCTCTCAAAAGTTGCAGTTCTTTTAAAATTGTAACTCGCCTTTTTCTTAACCTGCCTTAGGCCTTCTAATCGCCAGATCTCTGGGACAAATTGTTGACACTGTCACAGGTTGCTCTCCTTGTAACTCATACCTGTCTTTGCTTCAGCAACTACTTCGCAATGACTCATTTACTTATTTATTCATGCACCCCCCCCCATTTTTTTTTAAGCAGTAGGAAAACTCCTTTATCACATTTCTTAGTGGAAAAACATCTCCAGGGACTCAAAAAAATCCAAATAGGTGGTCAGATACTGGAAGTAAGCATGGCTTCTTGTTTGTTTGTTTGTTTGTTTGAACTTTATGCCCATGGTTTGACATTCTCCTTCCTTCCTCCCTCTGTTTTTGTGTGGCTCTTGAGTTGTCTGAGATGAAGATGCGTGTAAGGTCTGTTGCACATTCTGGAAGGGAAAGTCTTGGGGCTTTAGAGACAGATGCTAAGTGGGCATGGGGGCTGGGGGTGGCCTGCTGTGTGTCCCAAGCCTGAGTACCTTGGCTGGCCTCCGGGTCAGGGCTTCAGGAGCATGAGAAAGGATCCCCAGAAGGACCAGTTGAACTCCATCTGAGACTACATTGTCTATGAAATGTACAATGTGAACTCCCCAGGCTGCGTGCAGACAGTTCCCATCGCTGGCCAGCGCCGAGGAACATGCACCCGGGGGCAGAGCCTGCCCTTACTCACGCTCCACTCTAGTATCTTGGGAGTTGTGCAGAGACTCTGGACCAGGCAAGGGAAGAAGGACCGTGCAGCCAGGCACTGGCCTTGCTGTTTGAGTGCAAGGGTTTGTAATGCAGTTTTCTTTGTAACGTTTCAGTGATTGTGTGACCAAGGCAGCACCTAGCAGCGGGCCAAACAGAGTAGGTGCTCAATATTTGTGAACTATGAAATAATAATAATAACAATAAGCGTACTTGAGCGAACCTGGACATAGAGTTCTGGAGCTAGTGCCCTGACAACTTTCGGGGCTTTACCATCTTTCTAACAAATCTCTTGCCTTTGCAGGAGGAAGTATATTGGATCAAGAGGCTGGATTAGTCGCCTTAGCAATGTCGCAGGGTTATAGGCCTTTCCTTTCACATTCCAGACAATGGAGAGTGTTTCTGGTTTCAGGAAAGGAGCTTGTGGTGAGGAGTCAGTTACCAATAACCTTGAAGTGACTTCATCACCTCTTAAGTTGGTTTTGTTTAAAAAAAAAAAAGTCAATTATCAGCACATGTATTGAGTGCCAACTGTGTGTAAAGCTCTGTGTTAGGCACCTTAGGGGATGTCACAAAGGATAAGCTCTGTTTTTCTAACTGACCTAGACTGGGGGTGCTCCTGGCTCTGCTGAACTTCGCTGTTGGTTTGGTAAAGGTGCAGGGGCCTCTGGGTTGCCATCTGATTCACTGTCTCCGCCCCATAAACCTCTTCCTGGGTCTTTCTACCTTTAACGCATCTCCCATCCCTTCCCAGGATTCCCTGCAAATCAATGACAGGGGTTTTGACAGAAAGTATCAGTTCTGTTTCACCGTGGGCTCTGTGGAAACCCCCTGGGAAGACTATGAAAATTGGCTGTAAGGACGTGAGCTCCCACATCTAATGTGGCTTTGGGGATAGGCAGCTCAGGGCTTGGGGTGCTCCATGTGACTTCTACAAGTAAATCTGCGGACAGCATCTTGCTAGGGAGAAGGTTACGGTTGTTTTCCTTTCTCTGCAATCTAGAATAAGTAGGTATGCTTGTAACTTCCTACACAATGCCTTGGCCTCCAGAGATTTTATTCAGCAGGGCCCAAGGACCTGTCCAGACCTCTGTCCAGCCTCCTCTCTGGCAAACTCCTTTCTCCTCCTTTATAAAGGTCACATCTCAGGGCAGATGAACATAGGGTAGGGTGGAACTGGCCAGAACCATCTGGTTGAGCTACTTGGTTGATTCATATCCTTTTTCCTCTATGGAGACCTGTTTCCTGATCTCTGAGACTGCTTCTGAACTGGCAGCTTGCTCAGGGAACTGAAACCGGAGAAGGGGGTGACACACTTTTTATTTCCCTGAGATATCTCTCACTTTCCTTTCCCCAGTCGCTCCCTTACCTGCACCCCTCAAATTCAGAATGCGGGAAACTTCTGTATCTAGTAGTTCTGAACTTTGGCTTTAACCATCACCCCCAGCTCTGTCCTCGCTGGGCCCCCTCAGCCTTCTGGTCACTGAATTGAGTGCTTACTGTTTTGGAAACCAAGCTGGGTGGGACATGAGGATGCAAAGAGGAACTGGACAGCCTCAGCCCTAGAGGGTGGACTCAATTGAAGGGGATTTCACCAGTGTGGTGCTATCTTTGGCTTCTGGTGAGGTGGCCTCAGCCACAGTTAGGAAAGAGAGCAACATAGCACAGACTTTGGAAGGAGCCCCCGAAAATCTACCTACATCATGAATTTCACTCTGTGATGGAGGAGATTGGAGAGAGTTGCAGTTTCAGCCAAGTATTTAGAGTCACTGGACTTGGACAGTTCTTTTTGTTCCTTTATTGTATTTGGGTTCCAAGTCCCTGTCTGGGTTTGTATCATGTCTGGCAGGGGACTCAGGTTATCGTTTTCCTCTGGGCCTACGTCTTAGATCTTGGAAACTCCTAGGAGAGCATTTTGCTACTCCCAGGTATCAGATACCAGAGCCTTAAATAATGGATTTGGCTTCACTGTGGCCTGCTCAGAGTTCTCTGCTGCTGCCTCTTGCTATGCACTTGTGCAGTAATGGCACACTGGACATGACCAGCAGGGATGTGAACCCTGGACCCCCCGGCAGGCCTCTTCCCCTTGGCAAGCCCAATTGTCCTATAGTAGTCTGTTCCTATTTCTGAGTTACCTTATTTCCCTTCTTTGCATGAGCAAATTCCCAGTATTTGCCCAGACCATTGGTAGAGGGCCTATTTTTCTTACAAGCTTTTGTAGCTCCCTGATCCCCTCCAATAGTCAGTACATGACCACTGTCATCCCAGAAGGCTTCTGAGAAGAGGGGCAAGAGTGGCCCTGCCCCCTGACTGCTGAGCCCACCTTCTCTCCCAGGTATGCACCTTTCCACACCCTGTGAATGGGCTCAGGCCCTGCTTGGGCTTTGGGAGGGGCAGGCTGCTTTCTAGGTCTCTCCCAGTGGGGCATCTGGTGGTTCTGAATTTTTTCCTACCTCACAGGGATGTTGTAAGACTTTACAGGGTCTGAGGATGAAGGCCCCTCGACCTCTTGATAGGAAGGGTGGAATATATACCAGCTGTGATCCGTGAAAAGATGAAATGTGATTCAGCCTGCTCATGCAGCAGTCAAGCTAGTGCTCTGTGGCCTTTTCCTGGACCCCTGTGCCACCCTGCAGCTCCAGCCACCTCGAGGCCAACCTGGGGACTTTCAGATGTTCGACATAGAGGTACCAGGAAAACCCCAGCTACACATGCCCTGAATGAATTGCTGAACATCAAAGGAAGTGGACCCTGCTTTTAAGGATGTACAAATGTATGTTTGCATTGATGTCTGTACTGTAAATTTCTAATTTATCGCTGTACAAAAAAAATAAAATAAACTTTGCTATTTAATTTTTGTATTAAAGGAAAATAAAGTTTTGTTTATTACATGGTGTGTGATTTGGCAATTTCCTGATGGTGTATGATAGTCCCTGGGAAGCACGCATACCCAGCAGTGAGAAAGAGAGAATTTGGTTTGCAGGGCAGATTGAGAGCCTCTTTCTGAGAGCCTCTTTGTTTCATTTTTGCTGGTGCTATTTTTCCCCTCTGGGATTTCTCCTGGGTCAGCAAACCCCCAGGGTCCAAGGTCAATAGAATTTATCACTACTGTGGTCATCAGTAACACTCCAGTAGTCACATGATGCTTTGGACATAACTATAGTTCTCAAGCTGTCATCCCATGACACCTCATGGCATTTCCAGTATGTGTGGCCATTTTTATATAACTTCCAAGTCCCTTTGACTTAATCTGGTGGCCTGAAAAAAGTTTGTCTATCACTGCTAGAGCTTCAGGCCTCTTAACAAAGGGGAGATATATATATATATATATATATATTTTTTTTTTTTTAAGATTTTATTGGGGAATTGGGGGAGGGGAACAGCGTAGGGGAAATGAGGAAGGAGAACAGACAAATTGCTGTTTTTGTTCTTCAGTCTAGTTGTGGAGGATGTTGCTTCACTGGCCCATGTTGGTATGATCATTGCGCTCTTCCTCGGTGAGGCAATCGGTTGCTGGTCATTGGTTGGCTGCTCACTGCGGCTCACAGCAGCTCTCACCCGCTGCCAGCCACTCACGCTGGCTGCCAGCCACTCAAGTAGCTCATGGCAGCCCACTGCAGCCCCGTTGCAGCCTACGCCGTCGCCGGCGACTCATGGCAGCCCAGCTCCAGGTTGAGCTGTTGTTCACCATCTTAGCTGTAGAGGGGGCAGTGTCACTGGCCCTCAATGTGGGATCTGAACCGGGGCCCTGCTGCTCAGAGCTGGTGCTCCCAGGCGAGCTCTTAACCAACTGAACCACTCGGCCGGCCCTTATTATATTTTTTGACTGTAGATTTTTATTAAAATTTTTTTTCTGGCTATACAATAGTTCTGTTTTGTGTAAACGACATGGGAGTATGTCACATCAGTCAGCCAGGAAAATGGCTTTTTCAGCTAATTTTATAGGTTGGGGGTCTGTGTCCCCATATCCAGAAAAGCCATTAGACAAAGGAAATTCAAAGCCATCATCAGAACATTGCCGGGGACCACACAGATACAGAGGGAAGGGGAATGAATCACTGCCATTGGAGATGTCTGCTGATGTCCCAGAGGAGAATGTCTGCCCTCTTGGTTTGCCTTCAAATTGATTTCCACCCATTAGTTTTACCTGTTTGGGTGTGAATGAAAAACCCAGAGCACAAGGATCTACACTACTGTTCTTCTCTGGAGATGGCTATTGTACTTTTTAATCTCAAACAATAAATGAAGGGAAGCATGTAATTTAAATTCTCTGCCCTGTAAGACAGGCCATGTTTCTCATTTTTATTACCTACTCATTAAGTAGTTATGAAGTTAAGGGAAAGTCAACGCAATCTAGAATGAATTCATAACAATCCTTTGCATTTGTAGAAATACTTTCCATATAGAAAATACTTTTTTTTAATATCTATAATTTCTATGGCATCTATGAAGTAAGCAGGGCAGGCATTGCTTTGCTTTAGAGAGGAGAGCTAAAATACCAGAGTGCAAGAGACTTACTTGCTCAGGGCACCCCAATAGAAAGTTAGACGGTCGGCAGCCAAGTCTTCTCATGCCTAGCCTAGGGTTTTGTTTTTTGTTTTTGTTTTACACTCAGTTGTAGATTGAATTGTGTCCACCCAAAAGACATGTTGAAGCCCTAACCCCCATACCTGTAAATGGGAACTTATTTAGAAATAGAATCTTTACAGACATCATCAATTTAAGATGAGCTCATACTTGATTAAGGTGGGCCCTACTCCAATGGCTGGTGTCTTTATAATAAGGGGGAAATGTGGGCACATACACAGAGAGGAAAACACCATGCGAAGGCAGAGGCAGAGATGAGAGTGATGTAGCTACAGACCAGGCAAGAAACACCAAGGATTGCCACCAACCCCTGAAGCTAGGAGAGAGGCATGGAAGATTCTCCCTCAGCCTCTGATAGGAACCAACCTTGCCAAAACCTTGATTGCAGACTTCTAGCCTCCAGAACTATGTGTTCCAGCCACCCAGTTTTGTTATGGCAGCCCTAGGAAACTAATACCTCCTTTAGTCTTCTGATTTCTTCAATTCCTGCAAATGGCTCACTGGGAATGGATAACTGCTTTGGTAGGCAACTCACTCAATAACAGGACCTGGGCACAAGCTCCTGCTTTTTATGAATAATGTAGCATAATCACTCTGGTGAGTTTCTTTATCTGTAAGCTGGACACTCCTCGAATAAACCCCACGATCAACTGATTTGAACTGGTCTTGGCTGGTCTCCTGGCCACCCACCCCCAAGGGGAGCTCTTGTGTGCAGGGCCAGGACCTTGACTGGAATGTGGCCCAAGGGTTTTTAGCATTTCAGCTCTGAGAACTGATTTTTTTTCTCTTTCCCATTTTAGCTTTCACATGTAATCATAATTTTAAAGTTGAGCTGACTCTTGACGAAAGAGGTCAGGCTTGGCCTCCTGGCTTCCGAGATTCTGTGAACAGAAATAAACCACACTTGGAGAAGGGCGTTGTCGTCTCTTCAGTTTTCCTGCACAATGCAGCTGGGTCATCGGACTGGGTGCATCTCACTAAAAGTTTTGAAAATGTTGGACATGCAAAGGTTTAGTCCAACAGGCTTTCAAAATGAACCTTGACCCCACCTGAAATTTCTAGAATCACTCTCTCCTCTCCTTCTGTCTCACCTTTAGGCTAAGAGAACTCATGGATTTATCTGTCCACACAGCAAGAAATTCCAACTTCTCAAACTCCCAGGGAGAGAGAATAAAACAAAATGTTTTACATGTCACATTAACTGCCTGATTTTCATCAGCCTCCGACGTGGTTTCCTATAAGCACCCAATGCTGTTTTCAACCAAGAACCTGCTTAGTCTCCTGGCTATCTCACGTTATCAATGCCTTTCTCTTGAGGAGATTAAATGATTGGCTCTACATTTTCTAAAATGCCTGAGGGTTGCATCATTTCATGTGATCTGAGGTAAATGGGTACAATATAAAGCAATGAGATGGAATTGATAAGTCACAGAGAAAGCCTGTCCTAGTTCCATGCTTTCCTCTTTACTCCCTTGCCTTTTCATATGTGTTTCCCTTTGCCCGGAAGCCACTTCCCTCTTTCTTCAAGTAGGTTGTGTCTTTTCTTCCTTTAAGATTGAAGTTTTAGGTGATCTCTCCTGGGAAGACTTCCCTGACTCCCCTACTTGCCATGTCCTGCCTCCCTTTCCCTCTGGACATAGGTAAGACTAAGCTTCTGTGCTTTTAACTCTGGGAGCCTTCATTGTACTGTTAAAAATGGTCTGTCTATGTGTCCATCTACCCACTAGCCTGAGCTCCCTGAGGACAGCTCTGAGCACCCAAAGGTGCCTACGTGTGTGCCCTCAGTGCCTGGTATAGAATATGAGTTTCAGGAACGTCTATGGAAGAATGGAAGTTAAGATAGGAGGGAGGAAGTGTTCCGCCTTTGTTAGGTAGGGAAACTGGGGGGCTTTGATGACAAATGTGACCAGCATAGGAAAGAAACCAAAGGTGACAACATGAGCCATTACATAGGAAGGGCTTTCTGGAAAGATGATCGGACCATAGCCTCAGAGAAAATTTCCTTGTCCCAGAGATGGATTTCAGGATGATTGCCTACCTGCTGTGCTGCTTAATGTTAAGTCATCTCTCTTCCACCTTTTTCCTCCTTCCCCTCCTCTTCCACCTCCTCCCCAACAAGTATTTGCTGGTAGCCTACAGTATGTAGAGTACGGGGAAGGAAGAGAGGGATGATTGCAAAAAAACGCAAAAGACAAGGTCCAATTCAGAGTCCAAAAGTGCAGATGACAAAACAGAAAAAGAATCTAGTTGTTATTAACAAGCTTAAAACTCCAAACCTGGAAAAACAAATCCTCTACTTCTTAGCAAATATTTGTTGAATAGCTGAATGTGGGTCCATCACATGCCAACCACTGTCCTGGGAGGGCACTGTAGGGGACACCAAGATAAATAAGACACAACCTTTCCCTCCAGAAGTGGATGGCCGCAAACCACATGCCCGCTCCATCCCTACCCCCTAAAGGATCCATGCTACCAGTCCTATCACATTTATTATGTCATTGCTTCCTAACCTAAGTTCCAGGGCCTTGTTGGTTTAGCTTGAACAGAACAGCTTCTGGGTACCGAGTGCAATAGGAAAACATTTCCTAAACATTTGTCATCTCACCATTTGATCCCTGAAAGGATACGTTAGTCTCAATAGGTAAATGTGTAGTGAGGGCATGGGAAAGAGGAAAAAGGGGGGGAGGGGTGGATCCCGGAGACCATGACTCTTTCAAGACTTTGGTCTGCTTGCCAAAACCACTGTCTGAATTCAAGACACACTTGTAGAAAACGAAAATTAAAATTTACTTATGATGTATCATCAGAGACATTTATTTATCAGGTCAGCTAACTGTCCCCCTCTGGCAAAGAGACTGCTCTGTGGAAGTTAAAAGAGTGCATGGTCAATTTGCATGTACCCAGAGTGAAAGGAATAAATGTGTGATCACCTTGGCTGAGAATTGTCTGTGGGGAGCTGTGGGGCGGCCAGTCGTTCAGCGTAACTGGAGCCTGAGATTCTTGAAGTGGGAGAGAAGGTGGGCCGAGGCCAAGTTATGAAAGGCCTTGGAGGTTGTCTCCTGCACTGGGCACAGGACAGCTGGCCAGAGTTTGAGGGCAAGGATGGCTCCCATCCCTGTTGGTGTCTTCCAGGGCTCACCCTGGCTGTGGACTGTGGGCTGGAGAGAAGGCAAGCTGGAGGCAGGCAGACAGGTTGGGATGGAAAAACATGAAGGCCTGAAGTAAGGTGATGGCAGAGAGATGGAAAGGACAGGGCGATTTTCAGAGAAACCATGACATACTGTGTCCTCCATGACGCTGTTCA